GTAACCGGATATTGCATATTTATTGTTGCTAAGCGTTGCTAACTTGTCTATGGATCCCTAAACGTCAATAATTGATGCAAAAGGGCTACCCAAGTCTTTAAAAAGCGACGACAAAGGGCCTTGACCATGCGTCAGACATTTGACGAGTAGGGAGTGAGACTGTGTTGGGTCTGAAGGGAAGTGTAGTCTTTCTTTCCCATAACCTTCATCGCAACTTTTATTAGTCTTTCAATTTTTATTTTACAGTGGACGGTAAGAGTGCCAAACCAGGATGCCATTCCATATCTGATCAGACTTTCCAGCACCGCGTTGTAAAATAAAGTCATGATCTTAGTACTCACCCCTACCAGTCTCAAATGCAGTCTTTAGGCCAGTTTGGCACACAAATAGTCAACATGCACATTTCCTTTTAGTTAGTTATCTAATTGTATACCCAAGTACTTATATGAAGTTACTTGCTCGATTTCTCTGTCCCTAGTGACTACATAGTCATGGGCACATATCATCTCTTTTGTTTTCAATTATTAAGGATCAGATGATTCCTCACACACTAAGCCTTAAAGGAGTCAATCTCCCTGTAATAAGTTGAAGAGCAATCACCAGCATGTAATAAACTTAAAATGATTGTGTCATCAGAGAATTTTATGACATAGTTGTTGGACTCACTACTTCTACACTCATTACTGATACATTAGTATAAAGTGTGAACAAGAGTGGAGAGCTGACAGTTCCTTGAGGCACTCCTGTACTACAATATTTCGCCTTAGAGAGTGTAGGATTTACCTTCACTTGTTGTGACCTATTTGTTAAAAGAGAGTAAAATCGTTTGATAATTAAAGGATTAACTTTCATGTCAGCAAGCCTCTGAACAAGCAAGTGAGGACGGACAGTGGGTGGTGATGGAACAATTGATAAGACACATGCCTTTGGTGTGACATACCCGGGTTCAATTCCCCACTGTGACCCATCTGCCAATGTGTCCCTAAGCAAGACAGTTAATCCCTAGTTTCTCCAGAGGCATGCAACCTCTGACATGTATAGCAATTGTAAGTAATTTTGGATAAAAGCGTCAGCTAAATGAATAAATGTTAAAGCAGAACTAAATCAGCAATAAAACTTGTGCATAAGCAATGAGATTCGTTATTTGTTTAGCTATGGGCTGGAAATTGACTACAGGTGTTTTGCGTTTAGCGGATTGAGAAATAGAAGATCATTTATGTCATATACACTCAGTGGCCATTTTATTCGGTACACCTTTACAGTCTAATGCAATTCAATACAATAGTCCAGAAATCTGTTGAAGATAGACTCAATGGCTTATTCAGCTTCCAAAAACATTTGTTCTGCTCTCCTGCCCTGCTTTCCTCTCCACTGCATTGTTTCCTTTCTTCTCCTGTCCAACAACAACAATAAACACATAAATGGTCAAAAAAATTCATGTTCAACATTAGCCTACATTAACTAGAATAAATTCAGAACAGGAGTAGAATTTAATGTTTTAAATATAAGTAAATATTGTTTCTAGAGCTGGAACAGCTGTAATGTTTACAACAACAATGTCACTATATCCATTCTGCATGTTTACATATTTTTGTTTGTTGAACAGGTGTATTGATTAAGTAGTGGCTTTTTACTCATAAAGATTTATTGCACTTTGTGACGGCCCCGAGAGGTGTTGGTGTGGACCTGTGTGCTGTGTGGGTCTGTGTGTTTCCCTCAGGAGGGCAATCAAGGAGATTGGAGCACCTGGCCAGTGAGCCCTATTTAGACCTGCCTGCCCAGACGCCAGTGCCTGTGCCTTTCACACCGCTTCACCACGTTGAGATATTTTTCAATAATCTTTGTTGCGGCCTCCTTTTTTGTTGCGGCCTGAGAGCCGGGGTTGTAACACACTTACTTACAGTTATGAGCGTGGTTGTCATCAACTTGAGTAATCTTGGATTGGTCACAGAGCAGGATTCCGAAGATTTCAAACCACATTTGTTGTTCACAATGTAAATTTAGCACAATCACAGGAAGAACCGGGTGTGTCAATAGTGTAATTTAGGAATTTAAAGCATCAGATGCTGGTATCTATACATCACTGCATCCTTCTCACATCTAGATGTGAATACCAGGAAATAAAAGCTGAAATTCTGAACTCACTTGTCTCATATTCATCTTAGGATCTTAAACCAAAATGTACCATTCCAATACTTAGACTGTATATACACATGTACACCAAATGTGGTTGCAATAGCACAAAGCTTTCAAGTGAGTTGCAACAAAAGCCCTGCCTGTGGGGAAAAAAAGATGAATATTAAATCTTTCAAAAAAGTTGATTAAGAGATGTTCTTTTGTCACATTCTGCCTCTATCACTCCCTTCAGCCAAATGTTCTCCAACCGCCTGCATTGCCATTCTACATTTATCTGTCAGGTGTCTTTAGCCTAGTCACCTGATTCTCACATTCCTGTTCCTGCAATTGAATATCCATGGAATCCAATAAATGATTTGAATACTCTTAAAAAATAATTAATTCTAGAAATTTATATAATTATTTTTTGTTTTGAAGCCCTAGACCAGATTGCAGGACAGTAATCGAGGTGGGATAAGAGACTTAAGATTGTGTTACATGTTTAATTGTTATCTCTGTTTAAAAGTAAGAGGGCCTCCTGACGCCTCTGTACCATAGACCCTATATCTCGCAAGATTAAATTGTGACAAGATATCTAGTCAGGTAAAAAGCTGTCTTGCAACTGAAATTTTTCATATGCTGTCACTCAAGCCATACATAAGATAGACTCGCGGAGCTAATCAACTCCGCCTAGCTGATGCCACACCGGTGTACGTCCTGATAGTAATCAACCGCACCACTCATGCTGTGAGCTGCTGAAGTTAATGTGTGTGTGGATTCATGGTGAGATTTCTGTTTCAGTTACTTTCGGTTTCACATGCAACATGCAGTCACAAACTGCCCCCATCAAATGGTCTGAAGGGGATAACATTACTTCCAGCGGATTAATAATGCAATGCACAACAAAGTAATGGGCAGGTAGACTTAAATTAAATGATGACGTTCTTCTCTTATTATTTTGACTTTTTTCAAGAAAGGTTTGAACATGAGCAGAAAACCTGCAAAAACAAAGGAGCTATTAAAGTCCAGGAGTTTATAACTAAATCAAAATTAAATAATTTAACATTGAGGTGAAAAGGTGCCACATTTAAAGAGGTTATTTCCCCAAACAAAGGCACAGAATAGAAGGGAAGACTAAATCATGACTCAGCCGGGATGATATTACATGAGAAAAGTTGATCTACATGAGAAAAAGATCTAAAAGCAACATAGAATGCCTGAGAGCTGTACTGCATGATATTCTGTTAGGCTATAGATTTTGAATCGTCACCTGCCACCTGATTTATATGTTCGTCTTTACGTGAAAGAAAAAATCACCATAAACTGGTGCAAATAAATCATCAGATTGCAGGAAATAAAGTGCTGAATGCTCAAAATTTTAATATAATTCAGCAGTAAAAATCTCGAATCTTGTCTCATCTCCTGAGTTAAGTGTCTCGTCACACGCCTACTCTATATGTTTTAGCAACCATACTATTAATGTAGAGTTGACCATGTATTCCCTCAGGTGTGACACCAACAATTTGGTCTCTTTTGACCTACTCAATAGCTACACCTTGCAAAGAGATGCATAGCTCTTGATCTGTCTTAGAGCTTGCCTGGAGCCAAATATCAGACTCCAACTTTTTGAGATGTTCAACTTTAGCCTGTTTTCAGAAATCCATTCAGAAACCAGCATCAGTTCTTCTTGAAGAATTATGTTAAGCTTCTTGGTATTTTCTGCAGGCACATACTTTGTAGTATCATCAGCATACATAGCCATGCATGTATTTATTGATACACATGGCATATAATTATTAAATACTAAATACAAGAGAAGTCCTTGACACCTTCCCTGGGGAATTCCACATTCTAATGATTTAATATCTGACAGGGTACCATTAAACAAAACACACTTCTTTCTGTTGGATAAATAACTTTTCATCCAATTAATAGCTAAACTTTGAAATCCGTATGCATGTAGCTTGACGAGCAGTAGATCATGCAAGATCAAAATCTGCATGAAGTCCAGCAGTACCGACCGTAAACTTTCTGTCAGTTTGTTTTAACCAGTCATCTGTTAATGCAGTTGTACATGTAGAGAAACTGTGGTGTCTGAACAATAATGCTGCAATGATGTGTTGAGAAGAAAGCCGCTTGACACTGTTCTTGATCATAAAAGTTTATTACATCAAGGAGTTCAGGATCAATTACAAGCTCTGCAGCAGCTTGGAGAGTGACCCAGCCCGATGGCCACTCTGTCTCTCTGTACATCAAACACAGCTTATATAGGACATGTTTAGGTGTCTGCTAAATACCATATAAGGGTCTGAATCTGCAAACTAAGGCTCCAATCCATATAAGAGCAAAGTTCTATAGGATAAGTGTAGACATCTTGTGGATGCCAGATAAGGGCCTGAGCCTCCATGTAACCTCTGACCTCTGCTCTCCCCTTAAAGGTCACTAATCCTCTATCCAGCTGCTACAGTGCTATGTTAAACTGTTATGCGTCAAATGCACATATGTTATACACCACAAAACCCTCCTTATATGGATGTAGGAATTCAGAGATTATACTGTTTCAAGGGGTAAGGTTGCCTGTCAGAAGTTTATTCAAAATAGGCAGACTCAGAATGAAGTGACTCAATTATTTCTTGAACAATAAAAAGTCATAAAGAAAACAAAGGCCTCATTTTAGAAAACATCATAAATGCAGAATAGCTGTTTTTCCTGTAATTTTGCTGGAAACTGTATGTTCTCATTGGTTTTCTACTGTTTATCTATTACCCCAGAGAGGAGATAGCAAAGTGTTTCGCAAATGCTGATGGGAAATCATGTGTAAGTGTGTTTGTGTACAGAAACACTTTGGGAGGAGGATGAATGACATAGATGTGAGGTGAAGTGGAGGCGCGGGAGAAGGGTAGATAAAAGGAGGGTACTGCAGAGAGACCGTTTACATTCACAGCAGATCGGGATCAAGTAGGAGGATGGGTCAGACTCTGCTGTGGCTGCTGGCCTCTTTGGCCTTTGCCTCTCTCACTTCTCTGGCGAATGGAGCTCCCTTGTAAGTAGACCTGCCTTACCTCTTTACACATTCCACTTGAGCTTGAATTAATTTCCAGAAAACAGAGCTAGAAAATATTGTTTGATTGTTCAACTTCCTAATATTCAAACTGTATATTAAATTCAAAAAGTGAATAGATACAAATATCGGTTAAACTCAGTCCCATAACCCACATAATGAGGAGCTCCAGTTTGCATTTTGTGTCACATCAAATGATGCCAGTAAATTGGCCTAAATTCTATTTAGTTAGAACAGTAATGAATCAAACAGAGGCTATAGCCATGATGAAATGTTGCATTGATCCAGTGCTGGATCTTAATCAAGATAAACAATATATTACTAATTATGAGTAAAGTCCATGCTAGAGCTCATGGTCCTCATCTGAGTAAATATGTTGTTTGTTTTACTGGGGCTGTAATTTGGGTGAACTGAAACTTAAACACACTAAGGCAGTGGTTCTCAACCTGGGGATCAGGACCTTGTCAGTACAGTCTGAACATCATTTGGTCCTTTCTGTACAATGACTAAATTCTTAATCTTTCTCTCATGCGGCTGCTCTGCAGGCAGGTGATGTCTGCCCCCAATTTGTTGCGGGTAGGAACAGCAGAAAACATCTTTGTGGAGTGTCAAGACTGCACAGGAGGAGACATTAGGGTTGAAATCCTCGTGATGAACCATCCAACCAAAACCAAAAAGCTGGCATCGACATCTGTGACCCTCACCAGCGCAAATAACTTCCAGGAGCTTGGACAAATTAAGGTGAATGAAATACTGTTACTGTCTGTTTGTTATGCAGTACAGTAACTTAACTTTATTGTATATCATGTATTATATCAGATCTAGAATCCAGAAATGCACATTTTAAACCTGCTACTCAAACTCTGTGTCTCTTGATGCTGGTTTCAGATACCTGCTGGTGACTTCAGTAAGGATCCCACCATGAAGCAGTATGTGTACCTGCAAGCTCAGTTCCCTGACCGACTGCTAGAGAAAGTCGTCTTAGTGTCCTTCCAGTCCGGGTACATCTTTATTCAGACTGACAAGACCATTTACACCCCTAACAGCAAAGGTGAGTTCAGTATTATGTCGGTGCTGAAAAACACCTATGTGAGAATGTCTCTACATACAGTAAGTAAGATATCAACATAGAAAATACATCACACTTTTCCTCAGTTTAACTAAAGCAAGTAAACATTTTTAAATAAATGACTATATATAATGGTCAAATAAACCCTTCTTTTGTGGAATACATATACCTTCCTTCAGCAGCAAAATGAACATTTTTCACTTTTTATGTCAGTTCATTTCAGGATGTTTGCAGTGACACCCCGTATGGAGCCCGTAGAGAGAGATGATGCCACTCAAACTGATGCTTCTATTGCCATTGAGTTTGTGGTATTGTATTTTTTTTTTTTGTTAAGCATAAGAAAGACATATATGAAAAATGCTATACAGTAGAAATTTTCCCTACAATTTACTAAAATAACAAAAGCACTGGACCTTGTGTCATGGTTAGGTTTCTTGTCTGGCTCCCAACGCCTGTCCTACCACTTACTGTAAAAATAAATACATCCCTCCCTCTAGTGGTTAAGTTTACTTTTAAGTAAGCTTATTGAACGCAGGCACAAATTTTGTGTGTCAATCTAGATGTTGACCATGGATTGTAGAAAAGATTTAAGAAAAGATTTACCAGAAATTAAAGCATGGATTTAATAAATGAATTTGTAAACTGCCATGGCTCAGTGTTAATGGTTGTTGAACACTGTTTATGTGTAGACCCCTGAAGGCATCATTTTACCACTTGATCCAGTCTCTCTGAAATCAGGGATCCACTCTGGAGATTTCCAACTTGCTGAAATTGTCAGGCAAGTATTTCACCTTATTTTAATCTATTTTCTTTATTGTATTATTTTATTGTACTCTACATTTAGTTTTTTAGTGTTGAATTTAAATTGGGCTACAATATTTCCAATATAACAACAACAACAACAACAACAACAACAACAACACACCTTGAATCATTTAAGATAATGCAAAGTTTTGTTATGTTTCATACAATTTATTACCATGTTGTTAATTTAGTGTTTGGACAGTTTGGACAATTATTAAACTAAAATGATCAAGTCACATAAGTGATACAGTCAATAAAGTGTGGAGTTCACACATCACACAGAGACTTTTCAGTTGTGCCAATAAGACTAACTGATGAATTAATTAAGGTATCATGTGTGAAGCACTTTACATGTGTTATCCTCCAAGCCTCACCTATGGTCATGAAGGCTGGGTCATGACCAAAACAACTAGATCGCGGTTACAAGCAGCTGAAATGGGTTTTCTCAAGAGGGTTGCTGGCATCTCCCTTAGAGATAGGATGAGAAGTCATCCATGAGGAAATCGGAGTAGAGCTGCTGCTCCTTGAAAGGAGCCAGTTGAGGTGGTTCGGGCATCTTGTGAGGATGCCCCCTGGGTGCATCTCTAAGAATGTTCGAGGCAAGTCCATCTGGGAGGAGGCCTCGGGGAAGACCTAGGACTAAGTGGAGAGATCGTATCTCCACACTGGCCTGGTAACGACTCAGGATCTCCCATTCAGAGCTGTTTAATGTGACTTAGGAAAGGGAGGTTTGGAGTTCCCTTGCAGTTGAAGATTTGTCTTAAGTAAAGTACTTTATTTTCCACCCCTAAGTGGGGTCACTGAGACAAAACTGAGACATATGTTGAAGCTTTTTACTGATCCACATTTAGGAGCCTAAAATTACACTTATTAGATCATTTAGAGATCTCATCTTTTGACCAGCATCATGAAGAATCATGAGTTATGAGCAGTCATATCTGAGATTTCTTTGGGCTCTTTCTCCGATCTCATGGTCCAATGTTCTGGAGATTTAAATTAGACTTATTTAAGATAGTTTAGAGATCTCTTGTTTTTATCGGAGTAAGACATAATTGAGATTGTATATGATTTTTTCTCCTGAGTTGAATTTGAGTAGTTTATTTGTGTCTAGAAATGAAGGAAACAACAATGAGATCTCTTCTTGGAATTGGCTTTCCTATGGGCAACAGTGTGCAACACTAGCTAGCGTTAGCTTAGAAGTGGAGCCTGATCAAAGTGTATCGACTATGTATCTCTCTTGCTCACTCTCTAAAGTCAAAGCTGGGTTAGTTTAGCTCTTATTCAGGCTCTCTTTCCTCCTCTTGGGCAATCGCACTGTATTCTGTGGTGTTTGGTCCTGCAGGTCTGGCAAGGTGGTCAGAAAATGCTGTGGGCAGTGATTGTCCCAAGGTCCACTGCACTTAATCTCTGCCCTTCCTTTTCCAACGTTGATGAATGTGTTTTTATCATAGACTGCCCCAGCATATAACAACAGTTGCTTTCTACTAACCAAGAGTGATGCAAGCCAAGGCCTGCTAACTAGACAACTGTAACCTAAGCTGGGGTTGGCAGGCAGTCTGAGGCTTGGCGGTGATGGTCTGGTGTTGGTTTCTTCGTGGTGTTGGCTGAAATGGGTTAGGGTTGGCATGTAGCTTTGAATTTGAATTGTACAGACATAACAAAAAAGGTACTCGTGGAAAGGTACTACAACCATTCTATATTTATTGTGCAGTTTGCTGGCCAACGCTACAAGTTAAAACTTTTTTTCCTAAAATGTTTCTGTAGTTGCTGCTTTCTGTAGGACAGTAAAAATATAAAGTCCTTTGCAGCAGATCATTTGTGTCTAATTTCTGTAACATGTAATTAACTTCATGCTGTCTGAAGCCTGATTTTTATGTAACCTCCAATCTCTAAATGTTATGAATAAATTTTTGCTTGATTATTGAAATACGTGTTCTTGTGTGTGTCTGTGTTTAGTCCCGGACTGTGGAAGGTGGTGGCAAAGTTCCACAGCAACCCACAGCAGAGCTATTCTGCTGAGTTTGAGGTGAAAGAATATGGTAAGTCCTTCATTACCTGCATTTTTTAATGTTGAAACCTATGTCAACCTATAACATTCATTTACTTTTTACCTGGTTGGACAAACAAAAATAACTCATACTGTTTTCAGTGCTGCCCAGTTTTGAGGTTAAACTGATACCTGGGAGCACCTTCTTCTATGTGGACAGTGAAGAGCTCACAGTCAGCATCAAAGCCATGTAAGTCAAGGGATTTTGTTTTGTGGTATAAAGACCAGGTCACATTACACAAAAGTATGAAACCCTGTCTTATCTCAGTTAAAGATGACATTTAGGATTTTTGATGAAAATATGTTACCTAACTGCATTTAGGATCTTCATTTCAGATAGAAATTTAGCTATTACAGAACTGTCCAAACTGCAGAATTTCCTAAGTTAGGATGGAATAGACCTTGTCCTGAATTCAGAATTAACAACTGTTATGTTGTTGGCAATTACAGTAAAGGGAATAGGACAAGTATAATGAAAAAGTATAGGGAACAACATGATCACAAAAATATTATGAATGAAAGGCAACTCAAACTGTATGATGACATTTTAAATTTCCCAGCCCATGTATTGATGGGTATACTGTATATCAACTGCCAAGAAAATTAATTTTAAATTTGATCAACATGCTTCGTTTGTTCAAATCTTTTGAACTCTGAAGACTGAAAAATCTTCCCCAAAATGGCGGGGTTTCTTCGCCTTCACCGACATGATGAATACCTCTGAATCATTGCTAAAATCAAAGCTAAATCTTAATGCCCCTCTTTACTTGTCCATTATATCAAGCTAGCTAGGCAGCGACATTCTAAATGCAGTTATAGGGCATGACAGGACGAATGCCGATTGAAGAATGGTGTTTTCAGTTCTGGTTAGGATTTCTTAAGTTAAGATAAGACACAATGTCTGAGAAAGGATAAGTCAGAGCCATGTGTTAAGAAGTTGCTTCTGTAATACTTCAGTTGAGGATATTTTTTCTGTAATGAGGCCCTAGAGGTCTGTAATACAAAGCAAGTTCAACATACCCAGGATAAGTTCTATTTATCTGGCTTCAAGCCTGACAATGGGAATGATGCTAAGCAGTCACACAAGGTTGTTTATCAACTTGGTAAGTCAACCAAGGGTTTCCTAATCCAGTCATGGGTTTCACATAAAAGGGGCAGTGTTTGCAGGATTTTGCCAATCGCAAACATGGACTTTTACTAACAGCAGAGCGGCATATTTTACAAATTTAGAGCAAACTCCATTAGTAGACAAATACGTTAAGCACATAATCCAGGATAAAAGCAACACAGTTGTAGCTGCCAAATGCAGGGAGGACAGCTGGCAAAAAATTGCCGACATACATTCATAGGCTGATATTATCACTGCCATGAGTCTTTAGGCCTATTTTAGGGGGGCTGAAGCCACCCTAACATGGTCCTAAGCCCCCCCCCAAATAATAATAAGAAAATAATTATCAGGTTTATATATACTGTTTTTAATTTATTTATTTACAGGGCAGACATGTGCTCAACAAAGAGAAACAAGAATATTGATAAATACTATACACATATACAAATATAATTTGTAATTATTGTCTTAAAATAATCCTTCTGGTTGTTTCCTCTGCTTCATAATTTAAATCCCTGCTGTGATCGGGCTCTAGGACCCTGAGGGAGGCTGCCTTTGATCGCTGCCAAGCAATGTTACTACACACAGAGAGAGACATGCACAGTGAAAACTAAATGTTACAGTGTCCCTGTTAATGTTGTTGTATATCCTTCCATTGACAAGATGGATATTAAAGATATTTTATGAGGGAGAGAGAGTAGCAGGAGAATGGCAGGTTCTGAGGTCAGTAGTGGTCTGTAGTATTCTACAGTCAGTCTGTGGTCTACAGGTCTAAGGAAATGTGGGCTGTTTTGTTTTCTTCTAACATTATGCGTTTGTTAGCAGATGTTGCCTAAATGTAGGCTAGGCAATACATGAGCATACACCCACAGATATACAACAGACTTAACATAAGGTTCTAAGGTGCTCAGGTCTATTTGTGAGACATCAGAGGCGCCACTGGGTCTAAAAATCATGACCTCAGTTTTACTCTCGTTGAAGTTTAAAAACTTTAAGGCCATCCTGGCTTTAAAATCATTAAAACAGTCAACCAGTCTTGTCAAATCTTCTGCGTAAAAATGGAAGCTGATTTTGTCTTTTTAAAAGAGATCCAAGGGGAAGCAAATAGATTGAGAAAAGAATTGGCCCGAGAATCAAACCCTGGGTAACTCCACATGTGAGGGACACAGAAGGTGAAATAGAGCCACCAAAACTGACTCTAAAATCTGTCTGACAAGTATGACATAAACCATTCTAAGGCAGTGCCTTAAATCTCCACGCCATGCTAAAGGCGAGGAACAAGGATGCTGTGGTCAACTGTGTCAAATGCTGCTGTAAGATCTAAAAGCATAAGAATTGCATAATCTCCAGAATCAGTTGAGATTAATCATTAAAAACTCTTAGAAATGCAGATTCAGTGCTATGAAATGTCTTAAAACCAGATTGGAACACCTCAAGAACACCATGTGTATCTAAATTAAGGACTGCAGCTATAAAAGTACTGCCTTGTCTAAAATCTTCCAGACAAAATGGAGTTTAGAGATAGGGCGATAGTTTGAAAGTACTGATTTGTCCAAATTCGTTTTTTTTTTTTTTATGAGTGGCTGCACCACTGCTTGTTTAAAAAAGGGTTGGAACAGAACCTGAAGTAAGGCTGGTATTTATAATTTCTTGGATGTTAGGTCCAATAGTGTCCCACACCTCTTTAAAAAGGTGAGGTGAGATAATATCAGTGGGATAAACTGAGAGTTTCAAATGTGTAACAATATTATTGAGAGTAGAGATTCATATCGACACAAATTGGGTGAAAATGGCTTCACACTCTATGGAAATGGTGGGGTCAAAAGCAGGAGGTGAGATACTTGCTCTAATTGAGGCAATCTTATCCACAAAAAAGTGGAGAAATTTTTCACAGCCCTCAGAGGATGATGGAGGGGAAAAAACGGTAACTTTTGTTCAAAAGAGGAGAAATCAAAGAACAGACTATGTCTGTCGCTTTTTATTTGTTAACATCTTGGCTTCTTCACTAGTTGTTGACATAAGTGTAGTTCTAATACAGTAACAAAAGAAGCAAAGATTTTGCAAGTTACGTATACCCCAAGGGGCTAAGACCCCCCTGTCTTTCAATCCTAGTGATGTCCCTAATCACTGCCCCATCATTAGGTCATGATCTGACTATATTTACATTTGTGTATATCAATATACAAAACCACACTGAAATAGGTGTGACATTGCTTCTAGCCAACACAGGAAATGAGGCCCTCCTACAGAGGTGGACACTTGCAGCTCCTGCTGTATCACCTATGAGCATAACCAGTACCTACCTTCCACTCTCGCCAACAAGATAGATGAAAAGTTTCACATTTTTTTCATCCACTACTATTGCTCTCATGTAGCCTGCTGTTTTTTAATACATATGACATATGAACTAATTAAATTTTTATTTTTTTCTAAATTTCTGCTCACATTTTCACCCTACACATGCTTAACCTGTTCTCTCTAAGTGCAACCACACAGGTCTCTGTTGCATCAACACTACATGTTGTCAGATCTACTGCAACATTTAGATAAACAGTAGTTCCTATTGTTACAGGTTCAGTCTATTGGTCATTTGTTGTTTATTTGTTTTATTTTTCTGTTTTACTTTATTGTGGGTTTAAACCAGTCGTCCTATGGTGGTTTTAGGTATCTGTTTGGTGAAGAGGTGGATGGGACGGCCTATGTGGTATTTGGGGTTATGCAAGAGGGTCAAAAGAAGAGCTTTCCCAGTTCTCTTCAGAGAATCCCGGTGAGCACATATTTACCCTTTTGCTGCATTTCTGTCTGTCCATTTGCCAGTCGATTAGTCATTCTGTTTTATGCAGTATGTGTTTTACAGCCTTGGCCTTGTCCAGTGCTAATCTGCAGGACTTGAAACATCTGTAGGATTTCCTGTTGTAGTATTTTGGATGTTCAGAATAATTTATTTAGTAAAGTACCCCAACTGTTCACCTGTATTTCAAGATGCTTTTATAAATTATGTCACGTTAGATCGAGAGAGGTAACGGAGAGGTCAAACTGAAGAGAGAGCACATCACACAGACCTTCCCAAACATCCTCAGCCTGGTGGGGAGCTCCATATTTGTAGCTGTCAGTGTGCTGACAGAAAGCGGTAAGAAAGAGAGACTGTGTGTTTGTGTCTGCTCTGTATGTTTGATCAGGTGTGTTTCTTATGCAGCAGCTCAAAAGGGCAAAGTAACTATCAGTATTATTAGTGTTTAAACAGTATTATAGCATTTTAACAAAAAAAAGAAGAAAAAAAGAAAGTAAAGACATCATATTAGGAAATGCTTTCTGTATCAGTTAATTAAGAAAAAGGTGAATAGTAAATGCTCTTGTAATCAGTCTGTGTGAATACTTTTGTGTTTCCGTGTCAACTCGCAGGTGGTGAAATGGTGGAGGCCGAGTTGAGAAATATCCAGATTGTCACATCACCTTACACCATCCACTTCAAGAGAACTCCCAAATATTTTAAACCAGGAATGTCCTTCGATGTTGCGGTAAAGTACTTCTTTAGATTTAAATTAATTTATAGAAATGTAGCTATATTTGTAGTTTGATAAAATATCTTTTATTGAAAATATAACAGTCACAGGCTGTTAAATGCTGCATAATTACTCAATTACTATAATATATATCCACGCGACCCTGAATGCAGGATAAGCGGTTGACGATGGATGGATGGATGGATGGATAATTACTACAATTGATTAATTCAGTGTCTTGGATTTTTATAATGATACAAAGTCAGATTTTTGCAAACAAGATGAGATTCCAGAGAAAAAGATAAATTCTCCAATTAAAAATTTTGGTCACTATATACTATCTAAATACTGCACTCAGTGGAGTTTGCTGAACTAATCTCATAGCATTAATGAAACGTGTTTTATTAAAACAGATGTTTTCTGATCAGCTGTGTCTCTGATGGCAGGTTGAAGTTGTGAATCCCGATGACACTCCGGCAAAAGGTGTTGCAGTGGTGGTCAATCCAGGCCAAGTGCGGGGCCTCACTGCTGCCAATGGCATGGCAAGGGTTACCATCAATACAGAGGCTATGATTAACAGACTGACAATCACCGTGAGTCTCTCTTTCTCTCTCTCTTTTTTAAATTGCATTACAGCCTGTTTAGCAAATGGAAACTACGTTAATCAATATTTTTGATATTCACTTGTAGTGGTGAAATCAAGCAGAGCAGTAACACTTTACAACATCGTACATAACTTTGCGAGTAGTTACTAAGGGACGAGTGAGAAAGGAATCATGAACAACCTGATATTTTTGAATATCTCAAAATCGGACACTGTTAAGAAGATAATGTGAAGTTACTAGAGAACAGACCGAGAGATACTGTATTAATGAATCGTCACATAATGATTTGTTTATATCTGTGAATCGACATACTGACCACTCTCTTCATAAGTAGTTCCTGATTAACTCTAAATCAGCCGCTGAGCGGCACATTTTTACACTTACTTTTTACCTTTCATATTACACTGAAATGAAACAACGTAGCAATGTAGCGTGAACCATGCAGTCAAAAACTTTGCATTTGGCAGTTCAGCTTTTTGCTGTGCAACAGTATGTACTATTATGTTGTGTTGCTAGGCCATGATAGGAGAGCATAGATTTAGACTATTCATGTATCATTTTTATGTTTGTGTATGCTTACCTGTACATGTCTTTAATTGCAGGCAAAGACCAATGATCCTCTTATTTTGAAACCTGAAAGGCAAGCATTAGCCACCATGACAGCTCTCCCATATACCACCAAAGGCAACAACTACATTCATATAGGTGAACATCCCAAAATAAAATCAAATGGTTAAAAAAAGGTGGTGGCAGTTGCAAAGCATGTACCATGTTCTAAATCTTTTCATTGTCTAACACTCATCGCAACATATCATTTTTGCAGGTGTGGATACAGCTGAGCTGAAACTAGGAGAAAACCTGAAAATCAACCTCAACCTTAATAGGCAGGCAAATGCACAATTTGACATCACATACCTGGTGAGAGAGTTTTACCACTGTACATGCATGCACATACAGTATATAACTCTTTTTGTTGTCACCCACGACCTGGGTAGTATTTAAACTCTCAAATCTGTGCGCCTAGATCCTGAGCAGAGGTCAGTTGGTGGAAACGGGCCGTTACAAGACAAGAGGCCAAGTTCTGATCTCCCTGACAGTCATCGTTACCAAAGAAATGTTGCCATCATTCCGCATCATAGCCTACTACCACACAAATGATAATGAAGTGGTGTCAGACTCTGTTTGGGTGGATGTTAAGGACTCCTGCATGGGCTCGGTGAGAAACACAACACTGATACAGCAGAATTTAAGTGGGAAGATAAGCCACCCATACACAAAATGATTGTTGTAGTTACAAGTTTGCGTATTTCTAGGACATATTTTTATGTCAACACAGCGTGGCCTCCCAGGAACAGGAACATTTTGTAACTCACACATAGTACGTCACACATTCAAAATTGCATAAGTTTCCTGAATTGAGCTGCTTATAGTGATTATAGACCACAGCCTTTTCTGTCTAAATCCTTTTTGTAAATCATTTTCCGAACTCCTCATAGGCGATGAGTCCAATCTGCAAAAAACTTTGCATGTAAAATATGATAAAAAGTTAAAGAATTTAGAATGGAAAAAAAAACTTCCTATAGGTTACAGACAAACAGGAAGTGATGGAATATATCCGCATAGGTTTGTCCAATTACCACAAAACTAGGGTCAGGACCTTTGCATGCACCACAGAGGCTCTGTGCAAAATGTGGCGCCAATCGGCCTCTAGGTGGCGCTACAAATGAAGGGATGTCATATCGCCGATTAACACAAAACTTGGGCCAGTAGTTTCCCATGCCACACTAAGGTTATGTGAAAAGTTTCACGCCAATCAGCCAGTAGGTGGTGTTCTTGGTGAAAACTCATGAAATCTCATGAATCTGTACTTCTGTTCAGTTGACAGGGGTGGTGAGAACGGTGCACACACAGAAGATGCCAAAAATAACCAGTCCACCAGCAGGTGGTGCTATAATCAAGGTGCTATTTCAAAAAAGGTTGCGTTAAAAAGTTATATGGGAACATCTTGTACTCCACATAGGTCTGTCTGATTAACACAAATAAAGAACTCCACCTGTAAAATGTGTCGCACTTGTGGGACACAGTTCCAACTTGCATCGCCTCCTCGAGCTGCCTTGTGTGGCTTGTGCCAGGGAGCTTGATTAATATCTGCTTGCAGGTCTAGTTTATGTATGAAGCTGCTTTAACAAATATAAAACTGCATGTCTCATTCTCTGACCTTCCCTTCATATTTAGTTGAAGTTAGAATCATCGAGACCTGCTCCATCCTATGAGCCTCGCAGGATGTTTGGTCTGAAAGTCACAGGAGATCCAGGAGCCACAGTGGGACTGGTGGCAGTTGACAAAGGGGTCTACGTCCTAAACAACAAGCACCGACTCACCCAGAAAAAGGCATTTTATTTTTACCGTTAAAAATATTTGAAAGGGGTTAATTTAAAAGCTCTGTTACACTCCTATTAAAGTTCAAGTTTGTTAGCCAGTAGATTCAAATAATATGTGAGTTTACAGATATGCCTGTTTAACGTACATACTGTAACCCTAAGCCTTGTCTGTTTGTATTTCTGTGTGTGAATGACTCAGGTGTGGGACATTGTAGAGAAGTATGATACAGGCTGCACACCAGGTGGAGGGAAGGACGGTATGAATGTGTTCTACGATGCTGGGCTGTTGTTTGAGTCCAACACGGCCTCTGGGACTCCTTACAGACAAGGTGACACTACTTAACTCATCCCTTCCCTGAACATGCCCTCTTAAGGCTTTAGGCATTTGTACCAATAACAAAAATCACTAGTTAGGAAAAGTGGCTGTGGAATTTTGGGTTTTCTTATTCTTCATCATTCATGTGCTTTCTTTTACAATCTAGTGGACAGTAGAAGAACTCACATGAGCTGATCATGCTTCCCTCTGTTTTATTAGGGGTGTTAATAATTTACTCAGGTTTTTTGGTTTTGTTTTTTTTTACAATAAAGCATTTGATATTTTAACAGTCCAACAAATAGTGCATTTGTAGATACATATTTCTCACACCTACAATGTCCATCTGTCCAAACAGATAAATTACTTTAATTTGACATTAATAGTATCACATCAAACATATCCTGCAGAAACCAGCTGTTTGTTTCTGTTAAAAATCTTGTCAGTATTGCATTTCCAGAATTGAAATGTCCGGGCCCAAGCAGGAGGAAGCGAGCTACTACTATAATGGACATCACCACCAGCTTACGTAAGAACCACCTGACTTTACTTAACTAGAAGACCAATTACTGTTTCTAATTTGCCTTAGTTTAGAACGTTTTATTTATACAGTTCACTGTTCTTCTTGTAATCGGTACTATCTCACCTCTGTCTGTCCTCAACAAACATCTTTCTTTCCAGTGAGTAAATATAACGACCAACTGCAACGTGACTGTT